TAGAAAAGAACTGTAAAAGTGCTACAGTTAAACTCCTAATTCATTATATTCAACAGGTTTCTATATATTGAGTTCTACTGAAAATAAAAAAAACAGGTTTATATTCTACCAGCCATTCAAACTTACTGGCTTTCAGTCAGTTTAATTTTTGATGTGATTGTTACCAGTAAAAAGAAATCTTAACGCCATCTGAGACCCTCAGTTACATCTGTACTATGTCATAGGCTAATCCATCAGTGGTTTTATACAGATGCAATGGATTGCAAATTGGAACACAATTCTTCTCTCAAGGCAAAGAGGAATGCAGCTGTACTTTTAAATAGGAAATCAATTTGGTTTGTAAACATATACTTCTTATGTATTCTCTTATTAATAACAAAGTCTGAAATTGTGTGCATAGCTTTCTGCCACCTGCTGGATATATAGGGTTAATACCTCAACACTTCCAATTATATTTTGCTATATTTCTAATAGACAGTATAACTGATTAAATGGAGGTGTTTAGAGACCCTCTGTTTTAAGATAATATGAAACCAAACAGTGGCTATTCCATCTTTTTTTTTAAACAACAGCTAAGGAATTATTTCATTTACTCCTTGTATTTTGTCTTTCAGGGATATTTCCTGTAATCAATCTGTATACAGTTTGGTTCAGATATTATTATGTAAGGTTGGAGCTTATCTAGAGCTAGGGATTATTTCTAAACCCCTTCACGTATGATGGCCTGCTCACATTAAAACCAATGCCCAAACTCATGTTGGCTTTCAATCTAGAGAACCTACCCTTGTCAAACCCTACCCAAGGTACACGACAGTGAGGAAGAAAAGGTCCAGTATTTACAAAAGAGCTGAACTTCATCTAGGATCCAGGATGTTCCTGCCATAGCATTAAGCAGCATAATCTTTATGGTGTGGCTTTCTACAAACTGGGTCATTTTACAAACTATTATTTAAACAGGTGCCCACCTTATAGGGGGAGGAAAATTATCACATTGTTGATGAAGAATCACACATTCAGCTAAGTCTGATGTTCATGACATGTTGCAGCTATTTTAATAGTACTATCATGGAATACACCCATTTGAATTGTACTGCCCTTCTCATTTTTCTTGTCAGTATCAGTGGGCACATCTACATGTGCAATTAATGTGCCTGACTTTTCTGTGCAGGCACATTAATGAGCCTATTCTATGCAGAAAAGTCAGGCTCATTAACATGCTCCCGGGTGTACGTCTACACGTACAACTCTGTCGGGAGCAAATTGCTCCTGACAGGAACAGGCCTGTCCAGGGCTGATTCTGCCTCGCTCTGCCCCCTGCAAGAGCCAGGAAGAGCTCCAGGCTCCCCTGGGTTTCAGCCCAGAGGGCTGGCAGGGGGCACGGGAGCCAGTCCCAGTCTCTGCTGGGCAGGCAGAGCTGTGCCGGCTGCAGGGGCAGCTGTCTTCCTGCCATATGGGGTTGGGATGGGTCCTGGTCCCCATGTGGCCAGGACAGTTGTGCCAGCTGCAGAGGCAGCTATCTCCCTGCCATGTGGACATGGTGAGGACACAGCTGCCCCTGCAGCCAACACAGTTCCCCTCACAATGGGGCTTAGCCAGGCAGCAGCAGGCCCCTGCTGCCTGGGCTGACCAGGAGCAAATTGCTCCCGATCTGTGTCTACACATGTGCTATAGCACATGTCTAGTACCTGTATGTGTTGGTACTAGGAAATGGTGTATTAGACTAATTTAATGTGCAGTAAGTCCTGCACATGTGTAGACAGCGATGCCTTACTGTGCATTATATGAGTCTAATGTGCAGTGAGGTGTCTTGTGTAGATGCACCCTATATGTTTGTTTGCTAATAGAAAGTGATGGCAAGTTTGGCAAATGAAGGTAATGCCTTCATTATGTACTCCAATTGCAGTATTCACTGAAGTTGATTCTAAGTAGCATGATGTGGCTATCAGAACAGGGAATAATCTTGATAAGCAAAACAGAGGTGTTACTGGGAGTAGGTAAGCTGGAATCAGGAAGAAAACTAGTGAGGCAGTACTGGATAATAAAAAACAAGTCATAGCACATTACGGCTGCACAGAGTTCATTTGCTTACGTCTCATCTGAAATCACAATCTACTAGCTGTGGTATCAAACCTGGAGGAGGCATTAAATGAAGACCAAGGCAGCAGACTGCTTTAGTATTATCAGATCATTATTTTGCAGAACACTCAAACATGTAGACATTTACACGCGTGATTTTCATGAGAGGATTATTTTCCAGAGGCAGCAACACAGAGATTATGTAAAGAGAAGTTAGAAGCTGTTTTTAAAATATGTTAAAAATGAGTTGTCATCATAGGTGAAAGGGCAGTCCAACCTACTTGAGGACTGATGACAAGGAAGTTTAACAACCGTTTTTTAAAAACATATTAAAGGAACTCATGTCTGATATCAGCATCTAAGGGGATCATTTCTTCTGTGGCATTTCCACAGTATTTATGGAATATTTGCAGGAACATAATCCATCCACAGAAAGCTGTACCAGAGGTGTAAATACTCTCTGTAAACACGTAGGAGAAGAGTCGTACAAGTATACATCTCTTCAAAGAGTAATCACCTCTGTCCCTAGAAGTTTTCAAAAGTAGGTTAGACAGACACTTGACAGGGATGGTTTAAGTCAGGGATGACTCTATCTTGAGCAGGGGACTGAATTTATGACCTCGTAGGCCATGTCCACACATGGCACGGACATTTGGTTTCCCAGGGACAACTAATAGTGGCACACCTTGCACCACCACTAGTTGTCCCTGGGGAACACCCATGTCACGCACACTCTGGCACACAGCAAGTTACCCCACACGGGTGGTAAGGGAGGCTATGGCCAGCACTGGGCTGGCCCCAGCAGCCTTACCTGGGGTCCTCCTGCGGTTGTAGCAGTGGCGATTCTGCCATGCAGGGCTTCGCTGGCAGCTGCAGCATGGCTCTGGGTGGCCCAGCTACGCTTTTGAGCAGCATGTGCTGCCCTTGCATGTGCTGGTCCACTTTTTTTCTCCATAGGTTTTTTGAACTACTGGATATCCAGGGGTCAAAAAAAACCCTCCACGTTGCTCGCTTGCAATGCAGAGACCAACTGAACATGCAGTATGTGGTGCTGCAGACATGTTTGCGGTGCCACATACTGCATGACTGCACTTGTCTGGATGCATCCATAAGCTCCCTTGCACCTCATATTATTTCCTATGATCCTATCTGAGGTGAGAGCTGATACTACTAGCTCCCCTTAGGCATATGACTTGACTGAGTAATAAATTAAGGATGCATCTCTGCTTTTTGCTGATTGTTTAGCATTCACACCTTGTTTTGGGTCAGGAATTCAAAGGTTTAGTTGATATTGTGCTGCTGAGGAATGATATTTATACTCTTAATATTGGATGCTAGATAAAAAGAGAATCCGTACTGTTCAGATTCAGAATGCTCCAGTATGTAATTTGTTCATTGCAGAAATTATTATTGTGCCCTGAAGGTAAATAAAGTTGTTCTGTCATGCCAGTTATCCAATTTATTCTACTAGTGGATCACTCCCTGCTGTACGTCTCTGAAAATAAGACCCATAGCAACACACACACGTTCATACAGCGAGTCAGTGGCACAGACAGATCCAGGATTGCAGCAAAGAGGGGTGGTCCCACCTCCTTTGGCAGTGCAGCACATGTGCAGTGAGCTCTGAGGTCACTGGCATGTCAGTGCAGCTCCTACCTGAACTCTGCACAGGCCATGAGCTCTCTGGGCTCACCAACTGATTGGCAGGGGCTCCGGTTGGAGCCCCTGCTTTTGCACTGACTGTAGAGTCCAAGAGGTGAGCACCATCACTGTTCACCCTCCCTTCTTCCTGTACTCCCTCTCGTTGAATTCAGGAGTAAGGAAAAAGAGGGAACGAGTGGCAGCAGCAGCGCTCACCCCCATGGGTCCAGAGCTGTATGAAAGCCAGAGCTCCAGCCAGTGCCTGCATTGGTCAGGCTGCTGCTCAGCTCAGAACTCATGGCACATGCAGGAATCTTGCAGAAGCCCTTCTTACATTTTGGTACATGCACCACACAGCTGAAGGTAGGGGGTAGGGGGCATGACCGTGCTGTCAGACCTCCCCCCACCACAAGAAATCCGCCTTTGGTCAGTCAGTGGCAAGGCTGAGAAAAGACATCAATTCTCACTGTGTGCATCTACACAAATTGTTTACTGTAGAGCTGACCAATTAGCTCCACAGTGAAGTCTCCACAGCTGCATGTGCAACCCTATTAGGTTGCAGTAAACTAATAAACTCCACCGTAGGGTAGTACTTGTAAACACAAGTACTATCCTGTGGTGGAGATAGTGTGCTGCAACCCACATGTAGACACTGATGGGGCTGGCTGGGGCACAAAGTGCTTCAGTGCAAGGGCTGCCTGCTGGCTAGCCCCGCACTGGAGCAGCCTCGTGCCCCAGCCAGCTCTTCCGCAGCACATTGAGTTGGGTCAGAACAACTTCAGGCTGGCAAGCTGAGCCCCCGGGCCCTCTACCAGCCAGGGCTGCTCCAATCCAGCTCAACGCACTGGAGACACAGGCGCATATTCAAATGCGGCACCCGGGAGCAATACACTCCAGTGTGAACTGCACTAGAGTTTATTGCTTCGAATTAACTGCACGTGTAGACGTGCCTGCTGACTCCCACTGGACCATGATCATTTCAGTATACGTGCCATTGGGTTTGTCTAGGTGCACTAAAAAATGAGGAGGTTAAACCATGAATTACATAAAGCAGAGGTTTCTGCTAAGGCTGTATGTATTAAATTATAAGTTTGTCTGTTGTCCCACTACAGAATACACACACTATTCTCTGGGAGAAGTGAGGTGGGATATGGTACAAAAGAGTCTCAGTCAACAGCAGGTAGAGCTGCCTCTGCTCCTGCCAACTTTCTCAAATGGCATTTAAGGAAATAGAAACCCATAGAAGGTAAACACTTTGAGGAAGTACACTCTGAACAAATCACTGTTTTTAAACACGTACAGTTTCCTTTTTTTTTAATTTCAGAATAGGGTTACTGTTGAAAAATGGTATGTACTAAAGCCACCACATTATACATATAGATAAAACATCAGATAGCAAAATCTTATTGTATGAGCAATTAGTTGTAGTACTGTATAGATAATACAATCAAAGATATTTAAAAAAACCTAAAGGAGTTATGTACTTTGAAAGGTGCATTAGGCACAATGTGTATCCTGTAACTAGCTTTGCAAGCATATAACTATGATTTCACTGTTACAAAGTATTACAAGTGATCAAAAACATGAGCTGATTTTTAGTACTATGTGCTGAAATTGTACAAATGTATACAACACTCCACCTTCGTGTTATAAAAGCATGTACAGTAAGGACTACAAAGTAGAATCAAGGAGTTAAACTAAGAAATTATCCCTTTAATTTTGATTCAGAATTAATACAGAATAAATCTATGGCTTTACTTCATGGATGCATGTGAAGATTAATATGCAAGTCTTGCAAGTGGGGGAAGAAGCAAAACTTTATCCCCAACAAATATGACCTACTATATAATACTTAAATGAAATACAATTAGTAAGAAAACCAGTTCTAAGGCATCTGACACATGGCATGTGCCCCAAATCACAAAATAACCCCCTCTCAGTCATCAGAGCCGGATGTGAGATTATGTATGTGTTAAGGGGGAAAAAACCACCGGAGAATATAGCAAGAGAATGAGCCACAAATAGAGGAAATGACAGAAATCAGAGTGAAGAACTTCTAAATGATGTCCCGAAAGGCTTTAGCTTAAGTAACGTCTTCTAGAAAGGATTATAAATCTACAGTTAGCAAAACAAAACAATTAGTCTGTGTAGAGTGAAATAAAAACTTGGCCGGTTGAAATTTGAGGGATATTCTACACAGACATACTAGAAAAACGTTTGATTAAAATATCCTGCTTTTATTTTCCACTAGCAAAATGTATTGCTGAGAGATGTACTTTTTGCTGTTTTGAAATAAAAACCATGATGCTTAGGACAGAGCTACAAGAATCACACACTTTCTAGGGGTACATGTTCATCACATCAGACATGAATCATTTAAAGGTAAAAATAAAAATCTTACTGCTTTAAATATTATTTTTGACTAGCAGAAACATAAAAAGGAATGCACTGGAACATGATTGTAACAGAGTGTACCATGCAGAATTTTGGCTTATTGTATGCAGTGTACAAGCCAATGATGTGAATGGAGTATTTTGTATTTTAATCCCTTATATTTGCATGACATGAGATCAAATCAAAACTATAAATGAAGGCAAACTGTGTAGAAACTGAAAATATCAGAATACCTATGAAAAGCGTGCTGGACATGTTTATTGTTTTTAACATAAGGATCTGCTGCTTGAAGACCTACTACAGCAAGCATGCTGTACTGCTAGTTCTAGTTCTTTATGCTGCTAAGCTGACCTTAGTCTGTGATCATGGCCAGCGGGTGCTGTATGGCACTAGGAAGTTAACACATAATCTCTGCAGGTTCAGTGACCAACTTGGAGCCATCCCATGCTGTCTTGAACTGTTCAGGAACAGGAAATTCTTTCTGGTAAAGGGCAGAATCAACAATGACAGTTAGATAAACACTGGACATCTTATGCAAACTGATGGAATACTATTAGTTCAGCATGATTGATAAGGCATTTATAACTCAGCCATGCTTGGATTATGGAGAGGCCTTTTTCATTACCCCAGGCAGCCGTGCCAGTGCCACAAAGAGAACAGACACATTATTACCATAGTTCATATGGCTTTGTTAATGCACTGGCTTGTTACAGTGCCCCTCTCCCATTATTTGGAACAGCTAGGCAAATGAATCTTGTTTCAGAAAATGCTCTAGATTCAATAAACTGCCAGTCAAGCTAACTCAGTGGGAATGCAGTAAAAAGAATTTACATTTGAATATTTAGTGACAGGGCTAATAAGAATTTTAAAGAGGAAGATGATGTTCTGAAAAGCAAATGCCATGGCCAATCCCCAGGATTTGTGGAAGGTTTAATCCCTAATCTCTGGCTAATTGTTCAGCAATTTTTCCTTGACAGGCCACAGCGCCCATAAAACCACAACAGTGCTATTACTTTAAAAGTGAGGTGTTCCAAAGGCTATAATATCCCCTGCAAAGCAATGTCAATAAAGCAGGACTTGACAGGAAACCTCCCTCTGCTTGTTCAGTGTGTATCTGTCAAGGCATGCACGGACAGTGCTGGAACCCTTGCCTCAATCCTAGCACATCTTGTATGGTAAAAACTATATGCCACTTCTAAAGTGGGGAGGAAAAAGTTCCTTCTTACAGACTTCATTAAAAGTATTTCAGTAGGCTTCTTTTTCTGAAGTAACTGGATGGTCATCCTAAAACACATTCATTAAAGGGTTCTGAATTTCAGAAAATGTTAAATACCCATCCTCTGGAAATTAGAAGCTTTATGGCATTTGAAATTGGGCTTCCAAAATATGCTTTCATTTTTTAAATATTTGAACATGGTGCCTTGTTTCTTTCTATTGTTCTTTCTCCTTCTTTACAAAAACAAAAATACATAAATACATACATAAAAAATCCACTGAAAGAAATTCCAGTACAAAAAAGTTGTAAAATCATTAAAAATGCTTGGTTAACACTTGCACTCACAATTTTAAATCTGACCACTTGAGAAGGAGGGTGGGTGCAACAATGCAGTTCAACAATACAACCAATTTCTATTGTGTGTAGTGAATAATGCTAGCAGCAAAAGAAAATGCTGTGATACTGCAGACCTGACTGTAGTAGAAGAGCTTTAGCAGACATGAGTAGGAGCCCTTCAAGCAATGTACATCTTATATTTGAATGGCTTTCATACATATATGTTATAAAGTACTGTATTGTGTTTGTACACTAAATACACTGCAATATATTATAACACAGTACAAAAATGTTGATCTTAACATTGGGTTTTCTATAATTATGTGTATGAGAGTGGCTTTTTTGGTGTTGTGGGGGGTAGCTTGTTTTAAATGGGAGATTATATTTAGAATCACAGGGCTGGAAGGGACCCCAAAGGATCATCAGGTCCAGCCCCCTGAATGAGCAGGAAAGACATCTGGGGTCAGGTGACCCCAGCCAGGTGACCGTCCAGTCTACTCTTGAAGACTGCTAGCATAGATGATTGCACCACTTCTGGGGGGAGCTTGTTCCATAGTCTGGACACCCTAGTTGTGAAAAAGATTTTCCTAATGTTCAGCCTGAAACTATCTTCCAGGAGTCTGTGGCCGTTGTAGATACCTGTTTCATTTAGGATAAAAACTCGATATGGGAGGACATAAACGCTCTTTTAATGTAAGGAGTTACCTTTCAGCCTGGAAAAAGATATCCCTTGATGACTCATGGCTGAAACTACTGGTGTATAAAGGAGGCTATATTTCTGTGTATTTGAAGAGGCTGTATTTAAAGTTCACTATTTAAAAAATCTGGCACCTTTTGCTGGAAAGTATAAAAGGCCAATAAACTACAAAGACTACAAATGGGGGAAGAACTGTGACAGTCATTAAAAATATCCCACTTACATAGTCACCATCTTGGGGGATGAGGATGTTCATTTCAGAGGACTTGGCACTCACAATCTCACAGTCTAAGGATTCTTCGCTGAGGTATATGTGGCAGCCTTCTGTCTTATTAATAGAAATAGTTGGCACTTTTCCCATCACCTGAGGGGGAAAAATATATCTAATACCAAATCCAGATTATTAATACTAGTAGTAAAATAACAAAAAAACAAACCTTCTCCACCTGCCAGGGCTGTCATCGTTCACTCATACCAGATGCATATCAGCTGTCTAATATTTGTATTTGGGAGCTTAATTATATTTATTCTGTCCCTTTAATATGCTAGTAGAAAGCTGCTATGTCAGTGGTTCTCAACCTTGTTAGACTTGAGTCACAGCATAACTCAGAAAATGCCAGCTCCTAGGGCACCTATACACGTGCCAGATATCTGCTCTAATGCATGCTAATTAGCACACTCCAGCAGCCTCCATGTCACGTGTATTCAGCATCTCCACGCTTCAGAATGGTGGCAGGGGTGCTTTACGTAAAGCCTGTCAAACAAGCTTTAATTAAAGCATCCCTGTTGCCATTTTAAAGTGTGGGACACTGAATACACGTGGTGCTGTGGGTGCTTTAATTAGAACAGCTCCTGGAGCCACTCTAATTAAAGCACCTACACCTCAAGCCCAGAGCATATGTAAAGACACCCTTAATTTTCACTCCTTTTTTGACTACAGAAACATAATAGAGCAATTCTTCTGCTGCAAAGAACAAAGGAAGACCACAGCAGGGCAGAATGGGTTTACCACCATGGATTCCTATTTGAGATCTCTGGGTTTATCCTGTGAATCATGCCTGCACACCTAACAGTATTGATATTGTGCAGCTCCCCATGGCACCTTTGAAAGGATCTCAAGGCACCAGAGGGTGCTGTGGCACCCTGGGTGAGAAGCCATTGTGCTAAGTTTTGCAACTATATTCAGTTTTTTCCTCCAGACCCCAAAGTTCTAAAATACCAAATATTGACTTAAACATACACACAGATTAATGTCCCCAACCCTAATTGTCTTTACCAAAGGGGAAAACATGACAGAATCCATGTACAGTCCCAGTGATGCATATGTGCAACTGCAAGGTTCCTCACTGAGATCCAGACTTCCTTACTTCCAGTGATGGCAAATACTCCTGAGCTACAGAACCACTCCAAAAGTTTCTTTCTGCAGGCTGGAGGGGTCTCCAAGGTCTTAGGAAAGGGGTTTTCTCTCCAGCCACATTGCAGCTCTAAATGTATACTGAAATCAACTCTCATTAAAATGACAAAGGCACTTCTTTATATCCCTCTGAAAGCAAGTGCAAAGGCCTTCTTGAAGGGAGATGGGAAAACAAACCTGCTCTCGTTTACAATCCCACAGAACTCAATATCTCTACAGGGCAGGCTGCCTGAGTCATCACTTGTCAATATTCCTACTCCTCTTCCCACCCCTTCATAGCTGAAACTAGAGATAGTGATATACTCTGGTCAGCAGATCAGCCTGGAAGAGGTTATTCAAAGTCATAACACAAAAACAGTGTGTGATCACTGATAAGTACAGAGGTCATCCAGTGCCTAATGGCCCATCGTTGCATCCAGCTATCTTTGACTTTCCAATCTGAATTACCCATTTGCAGCTAGGTCAGCTGAGGGCAGCCCTTAGCCTAAGTGTAGAAGAAAGCTTGAACTCTTGCCTCTAGAGCTGTAGCAAGGAGTCTTAACTGCTTTGCCACGTGAACCTTATGATAAGCACATACATAACGATTTTAAAAAGTGTCCCCTTTTCATTCCTGTTAAGACTTCATTTTCAGCATCAGTCTCCTACTACAATGATGATCACAGAAGCATAGGAAGTGAGGGTTGGAAGGGACCTCAGGAGGTCACATCTAGTCCAATCTCTGCTCAAAGCAGGACCAGCCCTACTAAATCATCCCAGCTAAGGCTTTGTCTAGCCAGGTCCTAAAAACCTCCAAGGATGGAGAGTCCACAACCTCTCTGGGTAGCCTGTTTCACTGCTTTACTACCTTTCTAGTGAGAAGATAATATGTAATGCATAATATCTAACTAAACTTCCCTTGCTGCAATTTGAGACCACTGGTCTTCTTCTATCATTTGCCACCACTGAGAAATGAACATAATCAAGGGTGCCTATACATCTAATTACAATACATCAGAGCAGACTTGATTAATCAAGTCGGCTCTGACTCGATTAGTCAAGTCAGCTGGCGTGTTCTAATTAGGACACTCCAGCATGCTGCAGTGTCTCGTGTGTTCAGCATCCCATTATTCAATATTCAAAATGGCAGCAGGGGTGCTTTAACTAAAAACTTGGGGGCACTTTAGTTAAAACACCCCATAGCCATTTTGAAATGCACGTGATGCTGCAGCATTTTAATTAGAGTGGCTATCTGTGAGCTGCTTTTATTAAACCCTGGAGCACGTGTATAAACAACCCAAGTGTCCATGGTCACATACAATCTCTTGTCTCATCTTTGCAATTAGACCATTACATCTAGGTTGATTTTAATGTCAATCAATGGGTTGTATCATTTTAAGTAGAAGAATCAATCACTATCAGTGGGGAATGTTTGCCTAAAGACTGGCATCAAGGTGGGAAATAATGCATCTCTCCTGTCATACCAGCAAAAATGCTGGAATATTTACTGACCACATCTACATGAGAGCCACTCTATCTAACCTAAAATTAATTGAATAAGCTTTAGGTAAAGTGCCCGTGCCACCATTTTAAAGCACAGGGACGCTGATACACGAGATGTGGACACTGGCTGGAGGCTAGTTAGCACACTCCAGCAGACTCTATTAATCAAGTTGGCTCCAATGTGCTGTAATTACAGCACTCTGGAGCAGCCTCCCAGCATGTTTACACGCACCCACAAGCAAGAGTCACTCGCAACCTTTTTCTAGGCAAGTTGGAAGGATGTCATGAATCTTAAGGTAATTTCAATAGCATATGGTACACTCTAGATAGCATAAATAATCTCTAATAACTGAATGTTATTTTCTTCTTTTTTTAATCTTTGTTTTCCAAATGGATATTTACCTGAATCTGAATATCTCTGGAATTGATCACTTCCACAATGCCCACAACATTGTCAAACACAAGGCCAAACTTTTTGCAGTTGTCTGAAGAAAAAACAAACAAATGAAGGAAAATAAAAACTGTTTCTTTAAAACAAACAAAAAATCATCTTACATTACAACACTTATACTCATTCTTGCAAAAAGTTAGATATGTGAATAACTTCAAGCATGTAAGTAGTTCCATTAAGCAGAATTATTCAAATGCATAAAGTTTACTTGCACATGCCAGTTTTAACAGAATGATTTCAGATGACACTGTCCACTCACCAACTGTAATGGAATTTATTTTTCCTTTTATCTGTAGTGTAGATTTGTTGCACTTAAAAATGTATGCCACTTGCTTGAGTTCAGTGTCAGTAATGACAAGGTCATTCTTATCCTCTTGGTATTCCTGTTTTTTTTTAAAAAATGCATACTTTTTTTAATTGATTATTGTCGTAAAGCATCAATAAGACAGCAGATTTTAACATGACTCATCTTCCAATGACTGCACTTTCAATTCAAAGAGAAATATCCTAGAATCATACAATCACACACAATTAGGGTTGGAAGGGACTTCAAGAGGTCATCTAGTCTAACCTCCTGCTCCAAGCAGGACCGTCCCCAACAAAAACAGCCCAGCCAAGGCTTTATCTATCTGGGTCTTAAAAACCTCCAAGGAAGGAAATCCCACCACCTCTCTAAGCAACCTGTTCCAGTGCTTACTAGCCTCCCAGTGAGAAAGATTTTCCTAATATCTAACCTAAACTTCCCTTGAGACCACTGCTCCTTGTTCTGTCATATGCGACAACTGAAAACAGTCTGGCTGCATCCTCTTTGGAAACCTGCTTCAGCTAGTTGAAGGCTGCTATTAAATGCCTTCTCAGTCTTCTCTTCTTT